TAGAATCATAGAATACTAGAACTGGAAGGGACCTCAAGAGGACATCGAATCCAGTCCCCTGCCCTGATGGCAGGACCAAGCACCATCTAACAGGTGTCTGTCTAACCTGCGCTAAAATATCTTCAGTGATGGAGATTTCACAACCTCCTTAGGCCATTTATTCCAATGTTTAACCACCCTGATTGGAAGGTTTTCCTTATGTCCAACCTAAACCTCCCTTGCTACAATTTAAAGGTATCATAGGATCAGTGGTCAGTAGATCTTTATTTCATTGTGCTGTACAGTAAACCACAGCTCCAGTTTGCATGGGGATCAGTTCATAGCTAAGGCTTGTTTAATAAGGTCTAGCTGATTCTGTGTGCTAGATGCGGTCAGTTTCCAAATTGCAGCCCTGTCCACTACACAGAGAGCCATGCAAAGGAAACATGAACTTGAGCTGCAGAGTTCAGATCCAGACTCTTATCTCCACTTTTCCAAAGCTCGGGTGCACTTGGACATGGGGTTTCAGCTCATCCTGTCATTGGACTTAGGGCTGGATTGGAAAGAGGGAAATCAGTGTGGTACATCTTTCAGGCAAGTTTTCCAGAAAATTTGCAATTCCATTGGTGTGCAGTTGTTTTCAAAGATGGACTGGCCTAGGATGCTTGGGAGGATGAAAACATCCTAACTTCTCTGGTACATGGACTTTTAATGGTCTGTTCAAGGGCACCAGTTATGGGAGTTGCCAAATTCCTAAGAGCACAAAACTGAGCATCCTGTCCCACCTCTTCCCTGAGGCCCCGTCCCCTGCTCGCTTCATCCCCCTCCTTCTGTTGCTCTCCCCTCCCTTCTTCATTTGTACCGGGCTAGGGAAGAGGGTTGAGATAGGGGCCACAAGGACTTTGTCTGGGGTGCTAGCTCTGGGATGGGGATGAGAATGATGGGTTTGAAGTGCAGGAGAGGGCTCAGGGCTGGGGAAGTGGGTTGGGAGGGGGCTCTAGGAAGGACTTTTGCTCAGGAAGGGACTCTGGTTTAGGGCAAGGGATTGGGATATGGGGAGGGAGAGGGCTCCAACTGGGCATGTGGGCTCTGGGATGGGGTGAGGGATGATGAGTTTGGAACACAGGAGGGGGTTATGGCTGGGGCAGAGAGTTGGGGTGTGTTGGGGTGTGGGGTGCAGGCTCTAGGAAGGAATTTGAGTGTAGGAGAGGTCTCCAGACTAGGGCAGGGGGCTGGGGTATAGGAGGTGGTGTGGGGTCCTGGTGGTGCTTACCATGGCTCTAAGGAAGCATCCACCAGTCCCCGTGACTCTAGATGCATAGGCATCCAGGGATGCTCCACAGCACTACATGCTGCCCTTGCACCCACTGGCACCACCACCCCTGCAGCTCTCATTGGTCGGCGATCCCATCCAGCGGGATCTGCAGACCCAGCACTCAGGCAGGGGAAGTCTGCAGAACCTCCCTGTGCTTGGGGGCTGCTTCCCAAAGCTGAGTGGAGCCAAGGTAGGTAGGAAGGCTGCCTTAGCCCTGGGCTCCTGCTGCACTGCCAACCAGACTTTTAACAGTCCAGATCGGCAGTGCCAACTGGAGCCGCAAGGCAGAAGCGACTGGTGAGGGGGCACTTAAGGGAACTGATTCCCCCAAGGCCAGAGAAGGGCCAGGACAATACCTCTCCACCCAAAGCCCTACCTCTCCCTGCCCCTCGCCATGGTGTTCAGGCCTCATGACCCCTCTTGCCGTAGTGGCCAGAGTCTTTTTTTGACCAGGCATTCCATTTGAAAACCAGATACCCAGCAACCCAAAGCTTTCCTTCCTGAAAGGGATGACAGGCTGCAGGGAAGGTAAACGAACACTCAGGCACATGCACTATCTGTGTTATGCTCAAGCCAGGGGTGGCCTGCTGACCCAGGAGCTTTCATTGGCAGCAGATGCAGCCCTACCCAGAGTGCTTTTCTACAACTCGTCTCTCCCAGTGCATAGCACTCCAGGCCAGCACTGTGTGAAGGGTGGGCTGGAGGAAGTGGTTCTGCCCAGATCTGTGCGTTGCCCCTCTGAGGGGGGTGAGTAAGAGTGGGATTCATAGTTGATTAGAACAATATATCACTGAATTTAATAAAAGGTAAGTTATTCTGGAATAATCTAGTCTTCTTAATTCACCTGTGTCTCCTTATTAGCTTGCTGCACCTTCAGGTGCTGAATCCTCAAGTTGTCTGTAGGGCCAACTTGGTGCAAGTCAGTGCAATTCCATTGGTGTGCAGTTGTTTTCAGAGATGGACTGGCCTAGGATGCTTGGGAGGATGAAAACATCCTAACTTCTCTGGTACATGGACTTTTAATGGTCAGTTCAAGGGCGCCATTTATGGGAGTTAGGGGGAGGGGGAAGTAGCCTCTGCTCCTCGGTTAGCATGCCCTGGATTTGATACTTGAGGTCTGATTAAAACTGCATGCCCCGACTCCAGAGGCAATTTTTAAATGCAACAGAGTTTGAGCAGGTTTGCTTCTGGGGCAGGGAGTTTGTTATAAAAAGAGAGAGGCAGGTGATTGAGAGTAACAAAAGCCTGAGCATTCAAGCAATTGAAGCATTGTTAAATCATCATGAAAACATTTCCAGGTACTCTACTCAAAAGATAGGGGGAGGGGGAAGAGTAGGAATGAGTGTTGTGCTGCAGGGACCTGCAGTTGGATTACTGTATTAAACGTACAAATATTCTTTTAGAAGGGGTGAACAGGGACTAATCCAAAGCTGACTGCAAAGAGCTACAAAGATATTTCACAAAATTGGGTGATTGGGCGACACAAAGGCAGATGGAATTCAGGGTTGATAAGTGCAAAGTAATTCACATGGACAAATATAATCCTAACTATAGATACAAAATAGTTGTTACCACTCAAGAAAGATATCTTCGAATCATTGTGGATGGTTCCCTGAAAACATCTATTCAAAGTGCAGTGACAGTCTAACAACTAAAAAGCTAAGAGAATATTGGAAATCATAAGGAAAGGAATAGATATTAAGACAAAATACCATATTGCCTCTCCATAAAGTTATTTGCCCACATCTCAAAAGTATGCATAAAGTATGCCTCTACATAAAGTATGCCCACATCTCAAATACTGTGTGCAGATCTGGTCAAGCCATCTAAAAAAGATATATTGTATTTGGGAAAGACACGGAAAGGGCAACAGAAGTTATTAGGGGTAAGGAACAGCTTCCATATGAGGAGAGATTAACAAACCTGGGATTTCAACTTGGAAAAGAAATTACTAAAGGGTGGGGGGGATATGTTAGATGTCTAGAAAATCATGAACGGTGTGGAAAAATAGAATAAGGAAATGTAATTTATTCCTTCACTAACGTAACACAAGAAGCTGATCCAATTAAATTTATAGGCAGCAGATTTAAACCAAACAAAATTAATTATTTTTTCACAATCAACTTGTAGAACTCTTTGCCAGGAGATGGTGGAAAAGCCCAAATTATAACAGGGTTCCAGTAAGAACAAAATTAGTTAAAGGAGGATAGGTCCATCAATGGTAGTAGCCAGAATAGGCGGGGGTGGTGTCGCTAGCTTCTGTTTGCCAGAAGCTGGGAATGGGCGACAGGAGATAGATCATGATGGTTGCCTCTTTTGTTTATTCCTTCAGAAGTACCTGTCATTGGCCACTATTGGAAGACAGGATACTGGGCTAGAAGGACCTTTCACCTGATCCAGTATGATCATTCTGACAGTCTTATATAGAGCTGAAATATATCTGTCCCCTTGCTGTAACCCTCTAGACCCCACTTTCCTACCAGAGCTGAGAGAGCGCCCAGGAGTCCTGGTGTCGCTAGCTTCTGTTTGCCAGAAGCTGGGAATGGGCGACAGGAGATAGATCATGATGGTTGCCTCTTTTGTTTATTCCTTCAGAAGTACCTGTCATTGGCCACTATTGGAAGACAGGATACTGGGCTAGAAGGACCTTTCACCTGATCCAGTATGATCATTCTGACAGTCTTATATAGAGCTGAAATATATCTGTCCCCTTGCTGTAACCCTCTAGACCCCACTTTCCTACCAGAGCTGAGAGAGCGCCCAGGAGTCCTGTCAGAGTCTCTCTTTCTCACTCCATAAAGTTAGTAACAAAGTAAGAATATACATTGAAATGTGAAGCCTAGCCAGTGTCTCTTTAATGACTTGCCACAAGATGTCAGAACATGTTAGTATTAGAGCTGAGTGTGTCTAATATTTATTTAATTTTCTTTCTTTTTATATAGGAATTAGATACAGTGCTCCTGTCCACTAACTGCTAAGTTGTCTGTCAAAAAAAGAAAGTAGAGTTTTTCAGTGCCTTGGTACCTGGATAGAGATGATGTGTGTGGTGGGAGAGCGGATGGCGTTGGTTCCCCTATTGCCCATTTGGTGCTTAGCTTGTACTGAGCATGCTCAGTAACACTGCTGAAGCCTCTGTCCTCAGTCAGCCCTCCTATGCTTTCACTCCCTCCTCCCCCATCATGGCATGCAGAGGTCACCTCCCCCAATCTGAAATGGTTCCCCGAGGCCTGTTCTCGTTTTGTATAGACCAAAGGGGCGGTTATCACTTCAAGGTGTGTTATGCTGCAGACTACCAGGGTGGGGAATCCCCGATTTCCAAAGATATAAAAGAAGCGCTTTAGAACTTACGGTCCTGGCCAGAGCTTTACTCACAGTGGGTTCAGATTATACTCTTCCTGTGCTGGCATCCTGGCCTATGATCCAGTGTGTCTGGCCCTACCTGCCTATCCCAGGTCTGAATCTGGCCTTGAGCTCTTCAGTTGTGTCTGAATTTCTACAAATTCCAAATTAGGATATTTCCCTTCCATCTCAAGAGCATGAATTAGGCACCACTAAATTCTCTACTTTTGTTTTAGAAAAAAATCAAAGCTTGGAGGAGTATTTTCACACTGTCTTGTTATACACAACAGCCCTCACCCCACAGACTGAGCTAGAGCATGCTATATTTATCCTTTAATTCCTTTTTGTATGGATTTTGTCCTGGCAGCTGAGAACGACCTTGGTTCAAAGACTCTGGAGGTACGCAGAGATGGCAGGAATGGTGGAAGTAGATGGAAGCCCCTGAAACCTGGAGCTGAACAGCTGCTAGTCAATAAAGTAAGGCAGTATTTGAAATATATTTCTACCTGCTCTAGTGCTGGCATTTGTCTGGTGTGTACTTAGCCTTGCAAGCTGACAGTATGCTTTAGCAAAAGCTTTCAGGATCCAGAACTCAGTTTCTGTAGCAGTCGATTTTTTTTGTAGTTAGTGTGAATTATTTTATGGCAATATAAAGATTGTAGCATTAACCTTTTTTGCCCAGATTAATTCCCATCAGATATAAATCAGAGGCTTTATAACCTAACACAGGCTCTTGGCCTTCCCTTCCTTTTGGCTGAATATTCCTCGCAGATGTGTGTGGGGGGGGGTAACTGTATAATTTAAAATCATCTGTCGTTTTATTACCATATGTCCTTTGGATTCATTATTGTCACTATCTGTGACATATTGATGTGTATGTCCTTTCCAAAGCATTTTGCAAATACAGATGAAATCCGGACGCTTTTCCTTTCGACCGTGTAATCTCCTAATTTACTGGTGAAACCCAGTGGGGTTGTGGGACTAGTCTAGATCTTTGTCTTGGAATTAGAAAATGACAGGCAAGTTATCAAGGAAAACTGGCAAAAAGCTGTGCCAGAATTCCCCGATCTGCATGTCACTCCACCTCCAGGTGCACAATCCCCTGGGTAGCTGCCTCATGCCATGCCTTTGCTTTCTGGAAGTCAGGTTCACTACATGGTGTTCTTGAGGAAGCCCCATGGCACCTTAAAGCCTAATACATTTATCAGGGCATAAGCTGTTGTGAGCTGCAGCTCACTTTGTCAGATACATCAGAGTCTTGCATCTGACAAAGTGAGCTGCGGCCCATGGATGTTTATGCCCTAATAAACGTGTTAATCTTTAACGTGCCACAGGACTCCTGGCTGTTTCTGCTGAAACAGACTAACACAGCTGTCTCTCTGAAACATGGTATTCTCGGTGACTTTTGGCTTTCCTGAGCCTGGCTCTGGGAGCAGCCCTTTACTGGGAGCTGAAGGTGCCCAGCACACCTCATGATAGGCTCTTGGTGTGCCCTAATCATGAGCCAGCCACACTGCTAATCCTCAGTGTACTGTGCAGTGGTGAGGGGAGGGGAAGCTGCTTTTTACTGTTC